CCGAGCGGAGGAGGGGGAGGGGAGCGCTGACTCACCCGCCGCGTCACTGCTGGTGTGTGTGGGTCTCCTTAGCGCAACATGTCACAATATATATATTTCAGGCGGAAAAACTGCAGCAAAGAGACCTGCTATATACACCTGCTGTGGGCACTGAGCAATGTCTGCTGCATTTCTTTTGGCTCAGTAAACAAAATGAAAGTTCACTTTCACTGCAAATGAGACTATATAATCAGAACTTTAGAAAATGCACTCCTGTTCAGCATCTTTTTCAGTCCACAAAATCTGTACCATCATGACAAGGAAAAATTATATTCTGTCCAGTTATTCTCAACCATTAGTTCAGTAAGACTATGCACCTCAGTGCCTCATATTGTGAACAATCCCCCATAACAGGCACATGAGGAAACTTTTATTTACTTGTCACTTTCCCATTAGCATAATTACAGCATGTCAGTACCTGCGTTCCATCCTTCTGATGGTGGTCTGTACCTCTACACTCCTCCCACTCCAACAAAGATGTAAGACAGCTTTCATTTTTTGCGAGTAACCAAGGGGATATTCTAGTAACAAAATAACGTGATGCACTGCCATCTAGACTGTGGGTAGGCCACCAATGTTCTGCATGGCCAATAAAGGTCAAGATATCATGGATAAATTAAAATAGTCTGAAATTTGAAAATTACATTTACATACCTTCATACCAACCTCCATTGGTGACAGATCAGCAAAAGGCACTTCTCTTGTTGCAAGCTCCCACAGTAATACAGCAAAACTCCACATGTCACACGCTTCCCAATTGCGGTCACTAGGTTTCTTTTGTAGGGCTGCAGACACAAGTCATTAACATGCACTATCTGGTTTGCATTTTCTTGTCTATATAAAGTATAGTACAGCACAACGCACACAGTCACAGGAGCAAGACACAACACAGAACACAATACACATATGAATGTAGGAAGAAAGCTCCCATAGAGGAGGATTGGTGTGATTCACGTATTTGAGATATGATGTATGGATGACGAATCCTGAAAGGTTTTAATATTTAGAGATTATGACGCATACACATTTTAGTCATTTTAGAATGAAGACGTCATTGCATGCAATGCAGTAGTTTGACGTGCATAGAAACACACCTGAAGATGGCACATTAGTGCTGAAACATGTAGTGTAAAAGTGAAGAGAAGGGTGAAATTGTGTGCACTATAAGACATTTAGCATAAATACACATCATGGACATGAATCAGTGCAACAGGACGCTAAAATATAACATTATATAAAGTATATGCAACCTGCTTATTTCACAGGCACCTTTTGGTCCCTTTCCTACAAATAACATATCAGTAATGGAACACACTGATTGCACTCAATTTATCTATGTTATCCAACAGTGAGAAAAAACAAGCAACTGGAAATGGAGAGTCTTGCTTTGATTTCTATATTTCACACAACATTTACATATCGCCTACTTTTTCAGTCTCCTCCTTACCTTCTGGAGACATCCATGCTGGATAATATACTCGACCCTTCTCTTGAAATGAAAATTTTGCATCTGCCATATTAATTCTAGCTGTCAAATCTTCATCAATCTGTGATAAAAAATTAATACATTATAAAGTCAAAAAATCTGTAACATAAAGAGGAAATGAACTTAACTGCAGTTTATCTGATAAACATATCTGTAAAAAGTGTATATTCAAAATAACTCAATTTCAACAATGAAAAACTTTCAAACCCTTGAACTACTTCTTCAAAGAATGCAAATCTCTTTTGGTACACCTCATATGGAAATTCAACTGTCACTATCAAAGTGTAATGCAAAACTCAATTAACATCATGCTTATAACTTTCACATGAAACATGACGAAAATAATCGCATGGATACGAAACTCTAAAACAAGGAAATCAATATATTTTCTACCAAGCAAAACACATTTCTTTAATTAATTAGCTACATGTATTCCAGAAGTTATATCCTACACCAACAAGATGTCACTAAAAACAAATCAACAACAACAACTGCTCCCTCTAAGAGTGTAGAACTTTTCAAAATCACCAAGCGATTTGTAATTTCTTTTATGGTAGTGAACAAGACATAGAATAAGTAGCTGGTACACTACTCATCTTAATGGGCATTATGCTAAAAGCCAGAATGATGAGGGTTGGATTCCCAATGAGGTAATTGGATTTTTCATTGGCCTAATCCTTCCAGCCACACTATGGTCCTGAGGTTGACTCAGCCTGTAACAGAAATGTGTACCAGGAATCTTCCTGGGGGTAGAGAGCTTTACCTTTTATTTTTCTCTCATCTTAATGTACGAATGTTTCAAGGTAACAGATGGCAGAATCTCATTATGGCATGTGGTGGAAAACTGTTCACAGTCACTTGCTCGGAGGCATCCAAAACTGAAAAGTTCACAGCGACACAGACGACACCTTACTTCTTTTACATCATAGCAGCATATCTACTATCAGAAGGTAGATGCTGAATATTGCATATGGACTATAAGAACAAAATGTTTAGATCTTATTAAGTTAGTTTTGCTTTCCAAAGCATGTTTCTAGTTCTTACCATGACGTGCCGGCTGTTCAGATGATACTGAGGGATAATACGTTCTAGGCTATGTAGAAAAGCCATGCCACGAGCAACATCCAGAGCGAAACGCAAAGCCTGTGCAGTATCGACAACTACTCCAGTCCCTTCATGTAACAACGTATACAGAGACCCCCATGCCATATACTGGTTGATAACAACTAGATTTGGTGGCGAGTTGCAGCAGCCTACCACTGGCAAGACATTTGGATGTGAGAAAATCCTGTAATGACAGAATTTTGATTTTAGGTTCACAATGTCAATCTCCATGCATAAGCTCTCCATCATATTAAACATCCATACACCAACTAACCTGAGCTTTGGAAATTCCTCATTGAAATCTCGAGAAACACGTGATGTGCAATCCCGCACTGCCAATATCTTTGCCACAATATCATTCTTCTGCCAACGACCACGCCATGACTCTCCAGATGGAGAGGTTGCTATCTTTGTATGAAGATGCAAGTCTGCGATGTTTATGCCTTTGTGGCGAGAAAGTGTTGCATCACCTATTAAAGAAATGAAATTGAAAAGTTGGTTGAGGCACTATGCTATAATCCAGGTCGCGGGATCGAATCCTGATGAGGTCATTGGATTTTTTTTTCAGTTTACCTAATCCTTCCAGCAGCACTATGGCCCTGGGGTTGACTCAGACTCTAACAGAAATGAGTACCAGGAATATTCTTGGAATGTTCTTGTAGGTAAAGGGCAGCTGACACATAAGGCTGGCAACCTTGCTGCCATCTATGGGCAGATTGTCTAGAAAATGTGGGAACCTCAACTTCTTACAACCCTATGGGCCTCCACGACCCGTTACAGGGATACCTTTACTTTTACTTTTTACTTGTTCTAAATGCACTTATAATGTATAATAATTATATCAATTATTTTAGGTTAATAGGGAGGTTCATTTCTTTGTTTACAGTCTCACTACCACCTGTCTGCAGATCAAGATGCCACTCACAGCTCAGGTTCTCTCTGATAAAACAAAAATCAACTGCTACTGCACTGCCTAACTGGAGGTTTGCATATGCTCAAAAAATGTTAGCTATAAAACCGCTTTAGGTAACTCACTACAATACCTGTTGAAAGTGGGGGGTCCTCACTAACATCAATGGATATTTCATAACAAATTCCGTGATACATGATGTTCATCCTATGTTATTTCTAGAAGAGCATTCTGTAAGGCTCCCAATCAATTAATCAATTATATAAACTTAAAATACCAAATTTTATTAAAACCTTACATACTGTTCTGGAGACAAAAACATGAAATAGTTGGATATATCCCTTACATAACGTTTTCAGAAGCATTTCTCGCATGTCATTTAGAAACCAAGAATGTCAACAAACCAAGTGGTTTTCTCACAGTATGAACAAAGCATTATCAAGCATAGAAACTGTTTAAGCCTACTTTCCTTTCTTAATGAAAGAAGGCAGGCTGATAGAATCACCATGCTAAATGGCTGTGTGTGTGTCTGCCCCCCCTCCCCCTTTCAACTAGCTGATTAACGTTCACAACATTTGATACAAATGTTATGCCACTGGAACCAACCCCAACATAACACTTCAGTTGCCTACATTAAGTACTGTGCAAGCATTTCATAACCTTTCAGTTTTATACCAATAACTAATAAACAACCGAAACTAAGCAGGTGAAATATGGCATAGACATAAAAACAAACATGCCTACAGAGTATGTACAAGATACCGTTTGTAAATCAAGAATAACAAACACAATGACAATGCAAACAAATTTTATGTGACAGAACCAGTACCTAAGTAATCAGTTTCTATAAAAAGGGAAGCAACAAAATTTCTGCTTGCAACTCTTTATTTACTCACTGTCATGAATGTGATGAGACATTTCTAACATAATATTAAGGATTATTAATAAAATATTTGTATATGCTCTTCACCAGGTGATAGACTAGTGCATTATACATTTCTTTTGAAGGTGAATAATAGATTTTTAACTGGGAGAGTTCATATCTGCCTTGTCTGCTGCTGATGTCTGATTTCGAACTTCTATACATTCATGAATGAGGAGCCAGGGTACTGCTGTTCCCTCACAAAAACTGATAAAGAAAATACATGTGCTGTATTTGTTCTGTGTTCTGCTAGAGATGAAATTTTTCTTTTGTACCTCCCCCTCCCCCCAATCAAATTCCAGTCTTCATTTACTCTTCTGTCTCCTATTTCTACACTTTGTGCAGTGAATAATATACATACCTTAAAAAGGTCTGGAATTTCCTTACAATTTCACATAAAAGATTCTTTCTTTTATTTTTTTTATGAAAAAATATCCATAATTGGTCATCCAGAAGAGGCAGGATAGCTCAGTCACTACAGCAACAGGCTCCGGGATGGATGGCCAGGGTTTGATTCCCAGCAGGACCAAGATTTTTCTCTTCTCCATAGTGTTCAAACTGCCTCTGAAGCCCACCTAGCCCCTTATCTAATGGGTACCAGAGGTTCTTTCCCCAAGGGTAAAGTGACAAAGACATGAAGCTGACAATTCACCTCCAGCTATTGCCAAGGTCAAGAATGGTGGAGCTATATCTTACACACCCTTATGTCTTCATGGTACAATGCTCAATTAGTCCATGATTTATTTTATCCGTCTTCTAGTGCATACATTTATTTATCCCCTCCTTTCACTCTCACTACATGTTTCGGCACCAATGTGCCATCTTCAGGTGCTGATCCAATCCACGACAAACTAATTCATTGCATGCCTTGTCTTTACATACCAAAATAACTAAAATATATATCTATCATATATACTGACAAATGTCAAGTGTTAAAATACTAAAACTGTACAGCATATTTCTTTCCTACATCGTGTTTCATTACGCGAGTCACGTCTATCATCCTCTGTTGGAGCACTCTCTCTTTCACTATCGTGTATCTGTAACATGAATTTGTTATTCATTAATACCGCGTTCTGCAGCCTATCTATTACTTGTGGTATTATGATTTTAATGTTTAATACTCACTGTGCTCTGTGTTGCGTCTCGCTCCTGTGACTGCGTGTGTTATACTGCTGGACCTGCTGGGTATGTGTGTGTGTGCTGTCTTCGTTTTGAGTGAGTTATGATGTTGTGGGCGTAGTTGTGGTGGGGGTACTTGGTGGGGTGTTGTTATGTTGTTCTGTGTAGATGTTGCTTAATTCGTGGTATATTGGGTTATTTATTTCTTTATTTATATTGTTCATGTGTGTGTTTTTCTTTGTCGTTCTATATATATGGTAGTTCTCCAATGTGTTCAAGTATTGCCCCTTCCTACCTGTTGCTATGATATCCATAGTGTTTTCTATAGTACCATATGCATGTCCTGTGTTTAATATGTGTTCCGAGTATCCTGTATTGCTGTTATTGTGTCTTATGTCATGTATGTGTTCTTTATATCTGGTATTAAATTTCCTCCCGGTTTGTCCTATATATTCCTTGGGGCAATCTAGGCATTTCNATATATAGAACGACAAAGAAAAACACACACATGAACAATATAAATAAAGAAATAAATAACCCAATATACCACGAATTAAGCAACATCTACACAGAACAACATAACAACACCCCACCAAGTACCCCCACCACAACTACGCCCACAACATCATAACTCACTCAAAACGAAGACAGCACACACACACATACCCAGCAGGTCCAGCAGTATAACACACGCAGTCACAGGAGCGAGACGCAACACAGAGCACAGTGAGTATTAAACATTAAAATCATAATACCACAAGTAATAGATAGGCTGCAGAACGCGGTATTAATGAATAACAAATTCATGTTACAGATACACGATAGTGAAAGAGAGAGTGCTCCAACAGAGGATGATAGACGTGACTCGCGTAATGAAACACGACGTAGGAAAGAAATATGCTGTACAGTTTTAGTATTTTAACACTTGACATTTGTCAGTATATATGATAGATATATATTTCAGTTATTTTGGTATGTAAAGACAAGGCATGCAATGAATTAGTTTGTCGTGGATTGGATCAGCACCTGAAGATGGCACATTGGTGCCGAAACATGTAGTGAGAGTGAAAGGAGGGGATAAATAAATGTATGCACTAGAAGACGGATAAAATAAATCATGGACTTAAATCAGTGCAACAGGACGCTAAAATATAACATTAATGCTCAATTAATTAAGACCAGGGACACCTTTACATTTAATGATTCACCTAGTTAACATCTGAGGAAACATCATTTCACAAAGATAACAATATGCAAATAATATAAAATGTGTCTTCATGCTTGTAAATCATCATCATATTTTCAAGACACACAATTTTACACATACATTGATTATCCCAAAATAATGTCACCATATTTTTTTGCGTTTCCATCCTTTATCTGCATCTCCCTTCAACTCTTTCACTTTCCTTCCACTTCAATAAAGAGTGTCATACTGTGGTAATAGAAGCAATAACAAAATAGTTTTTAGTTGTTGAAGTAGTGACTATCTTGGCACTTACCTGGTGGGACTAAAAGAACCTGTCTTCAATATACAGTGGACATAAAAAGGTTATAGAAAAAGTTGTATATACATTTTCAAAATCTACTGTTTATATGAATATGCATCCTTTTTCTCTAATCTTAAAGGTAATAATGAGATCAGTATTATTAGGATTGAAATGGGGTTTATCAATTAGTTTTTACCTACATAAGAATAGGAATCTTACATGGTTTTGAAACAACTAGAATAAATGGAACTGGGGAAAAGTAATATCAAAGAAGTAAAATGTTAAACTTACGACTTCTAGTCTTTAATCCCAGCCAACTCTGATCTTTGAAGGTTATCTTCTTCAAATCCTGCCCCGTCTCCAAAGCAAGTTCTAGAAAATAAGTTGTGTAGTACTTCAAGGTCTATTTGTAAATTAAGAAATCATTAAAATAATATCAGAAATACATACTGATTTCTAACATGCCCAATTAACACAAAATATATGAGCAGTAACTAAACAATGAAACAAAAAAGGAAACAGCATAAACAATAAAATTCCAAACTATCATGAAAGGTATAGAGCAGGAACAACCTTGGTTAGAAATATAAATTCAAAAATCAGTCTTCAAAGTACACAAACATGCTGCAAAACATAAATCTGTGACAGTCATAATGTACTAGCAAAAAACAAACATTTGATTAATAACCGTTTTATTAATTGAGTGACAATATACTCGGAAATACCAATAAGAAAAAAAAATTGGATCCATGATGAAATTATGAGAACTTCCAAAAATACTGTTATTAAGTTTATCTGATTTTTTTTGTTTATTTAACTTCGCTGTCAGTAACTCATGACTACACAGTATTACATGATTAGATGACGGTAGGTAATGAACAGGAATGGATGGTGAAAGAAGCAGTCATGCTATAATGAGGAGCTTCATTACTTGTACTCTTCTCCAAGTATAATTATAATGATTGATTCAAGGAGGATGAGGTGGGTAGGGCATGTAGTACGAATGGGGGAGACAAGGAATGCGTATAGGATATTGGTGGGAAAGCAAGAAGGAAAGAGACCACTGGGAAGACCAAGGCGTAGGTGGGTGGAAAATATTAAAATGGGTCTTAGAGAGATAGGATGGGATGGTATGGATTGGATTGATCTGGCACAGGATAGGGACCAGTGGAGGGCTCCTGTGAACACGGTAATGAACCTTCAGGTTCCATAAAATGCTGGGAAATTCTTGAGTAGCTGCAGAATTGGCAGCTCCTCCAGAAGGGCTCTGCTCCACGAGTGAGTAAGTAAGTACCTTCAGAATACAAGTAAAAACCAACTTGTCCACTATTTTAAACTCAAAAACTTATCATCTAGCATACCTTCCAGAACAATAAGGATGAAAATATATACACAATAATTTAGCACTGTTTTATATGTCTGTGAAACATGGTAACTGACTCTGAGGGAAGAACATGACTTGCAAGTGTACAAGCAGAATATCTGGCAGAAATTCAACATGGTCTGTCCTCTAAGCATGCTCACTAAATGGGTTGCTGCCAATCCTATTGAGTTAGCTAGGGCAATAGTGAGAATGCAAGCACATTGTCAAATAGAGGTTCTGTAATACTTGCAGTATCTACCTTACATTCTTCTTAGAATTCATTGAATTTGTATGGATATTCTGCACTCCTGTGTCCGTGACCTTACGTGTTCACATACCCCATCAAATAAAGACAAGTCTTGCTTGAAAAAAAATACCAGCTCAGGTTCAAGCTCAAAAACTAACTGCAAGTATCAGTTTCAGAAATTAATGATTGTGGCTGCAAAGTCTGTATAACGGTGATTTCAAAGAGCTGTACTGTTAATAAGTTAGATGTGGTTCTCACAATATTCTCTTTATGATGAGCATGAATAAGTTTACATTAAAACATCAAGGGTTCTATTTGTATATTATATAAAGTAAGCCTGCTTGGAAGTGTCAGAGAAAATCCAGAACAAAATTTTTCTGGAATCTGAGCACTCTACAGAAACACTACCAGTTACTCAGAACCTTATCAATAAAGTACACAGAACTGAAATGTTAATAAGGAACTAAAACATGCGCATCTAGTTGGAATTATGTCTGTTAATCAGGATATTATCTTTTTGCCTCATACTGTTGTAGGTGTTAGATAATGTGGGTGATCTTCGTTGTGTGGCTTGTGTGACTTTGTGTGTGTTTGGTGACTATTTTTACATCCTGGGTCTGTTGCCTGTATGGATGTTTATGGAAAGTGGAGGATGTGTATGTATGTATATGACAAGTCCTGTATCAATGTATTCTGATTTATGGGAAAATGAAATAAAGAAAGAAAGAAGGATAGATAGTTGGTCATAAGTGTGTAAATTTGTAATGCATTTAATTCAGTTAATTTGGGTAATTTGAGCGAAACTGTATTAATTTTAAGTTTTTATAGTAATGTTCTTTTTAAATTATGTTTATTTATTATAATTGTAATAAGTCTTTTTTTTTTTTGTTCTATTATCTATGTTGGTTGACTAGTGTGTATGATTTTGGTTGTGTGACTTATGTAATTTATTATATGTATACATCTATTATCAAAGGGACTATTTCCACATCCTAGGATTTTTGCCTGTATGAATATATGGAAAATAAAGGATATGAATGAATGAATGAATGAATGGGAGAAAATATGAATATCAGAGTTCATCTTGAATATTCATCTCATAAACCTTTTTACCAGTTTGCACATGAAATAAGAATATCAAAGCAGACCATAAGAACCACACCAATATCACTGAAACTACTGCCTTACAAAACAAGAGCTGTTTACACTTTGCAGCCACATGATCCTGTAACGTAACTTCTCAGCCACTTCATACTGCCGAAACTGAACCAAAGATGACATTCTTCAGATGAGGCTTTGTTTTATTTACATGAGCAGGCAGGCAAACACCAAAAAACACCGAAGCACAGGAAATCCAAATCTTACACATAAAATTCAATGCCATGATGCAAACGGGCAGGTACTTGGAAGAGTCTGAGCATGAGGAAGTTTATGAGTCCTATGCTTTATGTGATACAATAAATTCTGAGACATATATATAAAACTAGATACTACAAGTGGGCCAGCAACCCTCACTCTATGATGCTGCTGCAGTCTATTAGCTCTGCTGACCAAGTAGGAAAGGCAGAAACCCACAGAGTGAGCACACAAAGGCCATGCCTCAGCACAGCAGCCAAGCATCCTCCTCTTGACAATCACCTAACTACGAAATTCTGAGGAAGAGATCTGATTCTATTAAAGACCAAGTGGTGATTGGAGAATATACTTACCAGTAATATACATACTCAACACATTTTATTTACAACATTTCAATTATCAAATACTGCATCCATTAATGTGAAGTGCTGCTTAAATAATTTTTTTTTATAAAAGTGTATAACATACTCATTCCTCTTCAACACTATACTCATAATAACATTATGTGATCCAATATAAATGATAATTACCATGCAGCCGTTTGGCAAGAACGCCACGTGCCTTATCTAATGGTGTGTCACCATCTTTGTTGGCAAGAGAGACAAGTGCACCATGAGTCACTAAATCTTCTGCTACTGCTTGATATCCCCAGAAGCAAGCATAATGAAGAGGTGTGTTTCCGTGTTCATTAGTGAAGTTCACATCAGCTCGGTTGCGAAGGAGCTATCGGAAATAAAAAAATACTACACTAAATGAAAGTTATTAGGACACTTAACATCCCCTTACACAGGTTGATGATGAGGGTGGCATGGTGCAGTTCAGATTCAGCACTCGACTTAGAACTCCAAACTCAACACTGTTGGTGTTTCACTGTCTATGCAAATTTCAAAGCCAGAGAGATAAACACTTGCAAGAGATGTGTCATTAAAAATTTACTGGAGAAAGGAACACAGACAATAAGATGTTGTGAACTAAGTGGCCTCTAACCAAAGTGACAGAAGATCCACCTTGCAGCTACTGACCCTCTGAAGTTATGCATGTTATGCATCAGTGAACTTCAAAACTATAAATGATATATGTATTTAAGACTACAATGAAATCTTCCCTTAAAATAAACAAATATTAAATTAATATGCAAATGTTCACTGTTAGGTAGTGATATATAAACAGGTGAAGAGTCAATTTATATTTCTGTCACTGCTTGTATTTAATAGGGGCTGCCTATTGGAAATAAAAGAATATGGGCCTATATAATTATAAGAATCCAATTTTTCCCACATCAGACATTCACTGTCTTGTATTGATACTAACAGCTGGTAGAAATACCCATCCTTTGCAATACCATTTCTTACTTACCATGTGCACAATGTCTTGATGACCATGTGCTGCAGCAAGATGCAATGGTGTATCATCCCCACGGTTGGTAGCATTGATTCGAGCCCCACGAGCCATTAACAGGTCTACAATTTTTATATGTCCTTCCTTGGATGACCAATGCAGTGGGCTGAATCCATGGTCATCTCTTGATGGAAGTTAAACAAATGTCAGTTGCCTTCAGAATAACTAAACTAAAAGCACTGATCAGAATCCTTCTTGTGAGCTAACACTTTCTCATATAATCTACAAATTTTCCTGCCATTTATGGAACTTGATAGTTCATTACCATGTTCATAAAAGCTCCCCACTGGTCCCTGTCCTATGCCAAATGAATCCAGTCCACATTTTTCCACCATTCTCCACAAAAATCCATTTTATTTCCGGTCTATGTCTGAGTCTTCCAAATGGTCTCCTCCCTTCAGACTTTCTGATCAAAACTCTGTATGTATTTCTGAACTTTCCCATGAGTACCACATGCCCCACTCATCCCATCCTCTTCGATTTGATCATCTGATTAATACCCAGGTAAAGCTGCCCCTGTGCTTTACTAACTAAGTACTATGCCATGAAGATGCATGGGGGTGTGGATGTATATATCCACATATTCTTGACCTGAGCACTAGTTGGGGGTGAGTGGTCAGCTTCACCTTGGGGATAGAGCCCCCGGTACCCACTGGCTAAGAGGCTGGGTAGGTCCCAGAACCGGTCTGGATGATGTGGAGAGGAGAAAATCTTGACCCTACCAGGACTCAAATTCCAACCCTTCCATTGCCCAGCATACAGCCACTTGCTATTTTGACTGTACTATCCCAGCTTTATCAATACTCAGTGATGAGCACAAACTATTAATACTCAACGAGGAGTACAAATTACAAAGTTCCTCATTATGCAACTTTCTAAAGCCTCCCAATACATCTTCCACTTTAAATCTAAATATTCTCCTAGGCACTAGGTTCCGTCTATCACACTGATGATCCCCAATACATACAAAGTTGACCTAGACAGGAAAATGCTGACTAACATTTTCTGTATAGTTGATATTTCTTGATAATTACTAGTCAGTTTTACTTCCCTCTTTGTAAAGAGGTCACTGGATTCTTCAATTGACCTAATCCTTCCAGCCACACTGTGGCCCTGAGGTTGACTCAGCCTCTAACAGAAATGAGTACCAGGAATATTCCTGGAGGCAAAGGGCAGCCAGCATGGAAGGCTGACAACCTTACTGCCATCTGTGAGCCGACTATCTAAAAAATGTGGGAGCCTCAATATCTTACAACCCTATGGGGCTCTATGGCCTGTTACAGATATACCTTTAATTTTTTTTATAAATAGGTACAGTGATAAATTCCTTCCACTGCCTTGGCAATTTTTCCTTGTTTGAAACAGAATAACTTAGCGTATATGGTTAAGGTTAGCCATTGTCACAACAAATCTGTTTTGGTGACCACTGACCTTAACCATATATGTTTATGACATACAATAGGATGCACACTGTGAAGACAGAATAAATCAGATCTCAAATATATGTTAGGATCAGCTCTGCTGCAATTTCATCTGTAATCCCAATTTACAGACCACGTAGTTACTTGTTTAACTGGGACACGGTAAACCCAATGTTATCTCAAAATAGATAATCAGAACTAAATATTGCATTTAAGACCTAAAAGTCTGTGATGATGGTACATTAATATAAATACTATGTTTTTGGGCATTATCCATCGTCTAAACTAAACTAAACATTGGGACAATGATGAAAACTCACCAGTCAGAGATGCCCAACAGACACAGTAGTGTGTCTACAGCATCCCATGCGATTGTGGCAGATATTACATTGGTTAAAAAAGCAGATATTTAGAAGTCCGCATTAAGGAACACAAATATAATCTGCACAGGGTTTGCTAGAAAAATTAAAATTATCCCAACATGCATACGAGGAAGGCCACAAAATATGTTAAAATGAAGCGAAGGTCTTGCAGATTGAGCCCTAACACCACATACAGGAAATCAAGGAATCAGCCCACATGTCTCTGCTGGACCATCCGATCAGTCAACACAGCTTGGACAACTCTCCCATCTGAATTCCCATTATCACAGCAGAAGTCAAGAGACTACAACTCCATCAAGTGTAGTTTGAGTGGGTAAAATCTGTTATTCTTGTGTTGTTACAATAAGGAGTACTGCTTCTCTCCAATGATGATTTCAATACAAATACTTCTCTGGTACAGAGCCTCATACATGTGGAGTTTCAATAATTTTACGTTTTCTTAGCTCTCACAGATGGTTTGTGCTGTGTTTGGTTTATGTATCCCATCTTGGAGCTGGCATAGGTGTCCAGAGATTGGGACTAGCTCTGTCAATTGGGCTCAACTGACTAGGTTTTGTCTGAAGACAGAGACAGAATCCAGCCTCTGAAACAGTGTTTTGAAAAATAAACAGGACGGTTTTTAGATAAAAACAAGATATGGATAATGTCCAAAAACACAATACTTGTATCATTATTGCATTGTTTGCAAGGTAAAATTTGTATACACAAACTATGAGTGTGTTAAAAGTTTTTAATCTATTAAGTCAATGAAACAGAGGGATACCTCAATAATATATTTTTTTTTATATTTCTATAGCATCTCGCAAAACATGCGCCAAAAGCACTATAGAAGTGCATCTAGTGATCATAACACAAAAATCTCTCACATTACCATATATGGTAATAACCTGTTTTTTTTCTGCCTACAAGGCTTGCGGGACCCAGACTAGCTCATGTAGCCAACTTGCGTCATCGAAGCAAGTTTCCCCACGATCTAAAAATGGGCGTGGTTCATAAGTGCGGACACACAACTACAAACGGGCATGCTACTATCAACCACTAGGTCTTTGTAAACTTTATCTTCTGGTGTAGTATATCACGTAACTTATTACTCACCCCTGATTCATGTCATGTTCGGTATCATCCAGCCACACTCTCACTTGCATTGCATTACCTTCTCTACACCAATGAAAAATATCCTCCATTGTGGTTACCTTTCACAAGTCACAGAAATGCCAGTTAATCGAACTTGCACTATTTTAAAAATTCAATCGCAGACTCCTGATTGTTATTTGAGAATCGCTGCAACCGCACGTTGATTTCAAGTTTAGGAACACAGTTGGTTTAAACACCTCCACACTGCATAACAATAAATGCAACGTAAAAATATACACAAAGTTACAATTCTTTAAAAATAGTAGCAAATGTTAAACTGTATACAAAACAAACTTCTATGCAAGATTAACGAGGACGTACTCATTTCCTTTAATCTCTTAACTTCACACTTCGAGTCTTAAAAATGTACACTTAACTGCCATAACAGCTTTACATCCATTTGTCACAATCGGTCGTGATTGTAGATAACACACCTATCGACAGAGTACGCTAGCATCTGTGACCTACAAAACTGCAACCACTGCTTCATTATTCGCCTCTCTTCGGTCCCTGTTCGGTTTCGTGCGTTTGTAGTGGGATTAGGCCGAGGGCACACGAAGGATACGAAGGATACTGCCAATCCCAACGCAACCGCTATTTCCGAGAATTGCTCCACTTAGTAACACATGTTACTAAGTGGAGCAATGCAAATTGAGGAAACGGCAACGCAACTCACGAAGTGACTGAGAAACTCAAGTTCCAGGCAACGGAGCATGCCAGTCTTCTTACAATTTCGTTTCCGCGTGGTTTCCTAGTGTCTGCTGTTCCATAACGAGATTCAGTGATTCATTTGTTTCTTAACATGGCACGAAAGGCCGTGCCATAGCTCAAGCGGTTAGTCGGTGGCACCCTACCGCGGCGGCCCGGTTATCCCAGGTCTGGTCAAGTAGGATTTGTGGTGGACAAAGTGGCGCTGGGGCAGGTTTTCTCCGAGTACTTCGGTTTCCCCTGCCAATCTTCATTCCACAAATTGCTCCACAGTCACCCTCACCTATCATCTGAGGCTGGTACAATAGGCTAGAAGTTGCCGCAGTACAAGGGACTTAGTCCCACCCCACCAAAAAAAAAAGAAAAAAATAAAGCAAGAAAGGTTTTTGTGCAGTAAATTGGGCAAGCTCTTGGTATATATGACAAATGCCACTCAGGACAAAATAGATTTAGCTTGGGGAAGAATTTATCATGAGACGAAGGAGTCTGGATCCAGGTTAAGTTCTTTCGAAAGCATATAAGTGCCTCAGTTTAAATTGTCCTGTTGCATTAATATATAATTCATTTTATATATATTTCTGTCTTAAATGCATATTATTATGTAACCCTTCTTCCACATTACATGGTTCAACTGTATACGACCATCATCATATGTCTTCTATCTTGCTAAAATTCTTGCATTGTATTTCAAAATTTCGTATCGCACGTGAACACAATATTTCCTGATTAAAATACATTGACCTTAATTAAAACAAATTAAATAAAATCCCAATATTTTCCTTATTGTCGTCATCCTATCTTTTCACGCCGTCCCAACCGGTCTCAACTACAACTGTATTATCACAACATCAGCATTATTATCTTCTATTGCAGAAGGTAAGGACACAAAATTGAAAAATAACTATCCTCCATTACATCGTCAGACAACCATACCCACTTAAAGATGATATGAGCAACTAGTGAAACAAGTTTCCTCAGTGTGTGCCTGCAAATCAGGAAAACAGTTGCCTGCTTTATTTTGGCGACATTTCTCAGAAACTGCAGTTGCCAGTTTCCTTCAGTGCCCTCGCCCACCTAGCAACGGATCTCAATACAGAAACTATCACTTCAAAGCACTATGAAGTATTTTTGCCATTTCTTCTTCAATCACCCTGGAACCTCAGAACTCAACTAAAAACTCTGCCTGATTGCTTCTGATGCTTATGTTACAACCCATGGTCAGTCACCCAGTCTGTCTTGGAATAAAGCACTCATCTGGAGCTTACAACCAGATTTCTACTACTGTCAGGCAGTTACAGGTTTGTTGATGTGGGGTGCTCTCTCTGATGAGAGGGCAGGTCTGTTGTTTACAATTACTAATGGCCCTCACCAGTGGTCATTCTTGGGTCTGAGTCCCATGGGACTCTTGACCATAGTTTACTGTCCCAGATTTCAGACTTCCTTTTTCCTCACCTCCTACAACTTGCAGGGCTATGGTGGAGGTATTTAACCTTGCCTCTGCATGGGGTTGACTGCTCTCTTGTAAAAGTCAAAATCAAAGTTACTTTACAACTGGCAGTTTACTGCCAATCAGCTTGTCTTGGCATCAAGCCCCTTGAGATCCATGACCAAAGATTCTTTTCCCCAACTGAATCCTTGTGGTATTAGTCCTTATGTAACATCCTCTGTGATGAGATGATAGGTTTGTCTGTTATGAATATGCAAGTTACTGAAAAATTCTTGCTTTTGCACTACACACAAGTTCTCTGTCAATACAGGCTTTGCAGAGCAAATCATACCTTACATATCTTATGCTGCATATGATAGATGATTTAATGAAATGTAAAAGATTTCCACTGTGTTGTAGCAAAGACATTCTGCACTGTAATGCTACCAGAAGCAGTAATCCCAGTAGTGTGATTCATCAACAGTGTTAATATAAGAATGTAACTACTTTAAGGATAGTTAAAAGTTAAAGCCCTGATTTTATACAAGAATGACTAAAGAGTACTCTAAAACTATTTGCCAGCAAGATGGGCTTTTCAGCGTAACACCACTTGTATCATTTTCTGCCCCCCCCCAAATCCTAGGGCGCATTGATTTGCACTTGCTATTTCATCATTTATCTGTCAGAAAAGGTGTCCAGTAGTACAGTTCATTCATTCCTTTTTTTCTTATCCTGTAGATAACAATACACTGATATAGGCCATGTCCATCTATAATATTATCAAGACACATTAAAGAAGGTATGTCCAGTGTGGACCTTGCTCAAAGCAGCAGAAATAACTGAAATGTTCGCTACTTGAGAAACTGGAAACTGCACTTGCTGCATAGTTCAAGCAAGCACGAGAGAGTAATACTTCCACAGATGGCACCCACCTCTAGGAAAAAGCCTTGCAAATTGCCGCTCATCTGGGAATAGCCAACTTCATGGTCTTCACTGGATGGATCAACAAATTTAAGAGGAGACGCATTGTTTACAGAACTCTATCAGGTGAGAGCATAAATCCTGAACCAAAAACTGTAGATGACTGCAAAAATTACTACCTCTTGTAGGAAACTGAAGCTTCAGGAAATTGGAAGTTATAATCTCTGTGATATATATATATATATATAATGCTGATGTGACTGGTCTATTTTTCAATCTACAACCTGGCAAAACCTTCACTTTTAGAAGAGACTTTTGCATAAAATCTAAACAGCGGGTTATTGTACTCCTCATGTGCAAAGCTGATGTTAATGGTAAACTGCTACTCCTTCAAACTGGAAAATATTGTGATATGTAGAACCATTGCTAGGCCATGACCACAAAATAAGCAACTATACAACAGCCATTGCTAGGCAATGAACACAACAATTGCACTGCAAGAGAGAACGTGTCTTCTATACAGTCTGTGCCAAGATGTTATATGAGCTGGACAAGTTAGTGGACAGTCAGTCTGACTTCACTTTGTCTTGTGCTGTGAACACGTTCATTCTCATTATTTTGTATGACTTCTGTTTGTTGCCTGCACAATTATGTTATATAATTGTACATGCATACACAAGCTTGAAAGTCATGTGCAAATTGCAGACTGCTATGCACCTTGGAAAATTTCAAATGGGGTGGAGAACCTTGTTTTGTTGAGTTGAGTTGGTTGGTGAGTTAGTTAGATAACCACTGAGGTTCAGCTGTTGCTGTGAGAAGCTGGTAGCTGAGGTTGTGGACAGTTTGGGAACCCAATGGTGCACTACCAAGCAACAGCTACTGAAGACTGTAACAGACTGAGAAGACCTAGTGTGTCCTATAGTGATTTATGAAGTGGGTAGAACAGTGAGAACATAATCCTTACTTGTGGTTACAAGTTGTAAGAGTTCAATAAATCCAATCACCAATCCAAATCCTGCCTATAGTCACTCACACATATGACAATATAAAAGTCCACACTCCTTCAAGAATGTCAAGAGACTGCCCACAAAATACAAAGCTAATACAAATTCTTGGATTACCTCACACAACTAGATAGAAACCTGGGTGCTAAAAATCACATAATTTTGCTTTTCATTGATCAGTGCGCTGCAATGCAAAGAACATAACATTTCTCAGCAAGCTTGAAGTTGTATTTCTCCTAGCTAATGTACCAGCCATCAATTCAGAAGCTTTTGTCTTCTTGTCTGCTGTCTATAAACATAAAAATTAGAACATACAAAATTATAATTTTGCCTGTGGTTCTGTACGGATGTGAAACTTGGTCTCTGACATTAAGGGAGGAACACAGACTGAGGGTGTTTAAGAACAGGGTGCTGAGGAGAATACTTGGACCAAAGAAAGTGAAGTGACAGGATGTTGAAGAAAAGTGCAAAATGAGGAGCTTCATAACTTGTACTCTTTGCCAAGTATAATTAGAATGCTCAAGTCAAGGAGCATGAGATGAGCAGGGCATGTAGCACGAATGGGGGAGAATAGGAGTGCATATAGGATATTGGTGGGAAAGCCAGAAGGAAAGAGACCACTAGGAAGACCAAGATGTAGGTGGGTGGATAATATTAAGATGAATATTGGAAAGATAGGATGGGGTGGTATGGACTGGATTGATCTGGCTATGGATAGGGACCAGTGGAGGGCTCTTGTGAACACAGTAATGAACCTTCAGGTTCCAGAAAATGTTGGGAAGTTCTTAAGTAGCTATGTGACTGGCAGCTTCTCAAGAAGGGCTCAGCTCCATGAAGTTAGAAACATACCAGCCAGCTACAGCCTTTAGATTTGTGAATCATCCATCCCATTACAGAAAGCAGTTGATTCAAAGACTTGCCAAGATAGGTGTGGGACTGCTCTAAGGTGCTACATAGATGAAGCTGGATGTGTTGTCTGCAATGCACTTCATAGCAGAAGCCTGGAGACTGATAACACCCACTACAATCAAGAATTGCTTTGCGAATTGTAGTTTCTGAGATTATTATGTCAGCAGCAATAACAGTGCAGTGAAACTCAGCGAAGATGAAGATGACTGGCATAATTTACAACCTCTTGGAGAGAAGTCTGAGGACTACACAACATGTGACAGTGGTCTTGAGGTTTGTGGGATCTTCGACCTGGTGTTAGATCAACATTTGACTAGGCCAGAAGAAGAGAAGTTGAGGAAGTTGTAGGACATAAAATCAACATTCTTGGGATGCACCGAAAGTGCTTGAAGCAGCCATAAAGCACGTGTCAATTTGATACTGTGAACAATATTATTGTAATGTGCAACAAAGTTGAAAATGAATTATACAGACTAAGGGCTCAAGAAAAAAAGAAACAGGAGACCCTTATTTAATGTTTAAAGAAATAGTATAACTAGGTATGTATCACATTTGCCAGTCTATCCAGGCAAATGCTGGAATAGTGTCTTCTTCCTCATCCTTTCCATTCATTAATTATAATCACCACCACATTTTGTTGATGCCGCATAAACACAGCAGTTTATAAAGGCCTCACAAAATAAACTAAGAACCATATTTCCATCTACACATACACAGTTAAGTGTTCAAACATGACCTTCCAGCATTATGGTATAAACAAAACCACATTTTCTTTACAATATGTCATTCTCATTTCCTGGATTTTACAGTTGTTTACGCAGTCCCTCAAAATGTGCAAAATTGAGGTTCCACCACATTCACTTAAATGAATCCACAACTTTGTAACATCACCTATATTTGCAACTTATGCAGTCAGTCTACATGGAAGAAGGGTACTACAGTATTTTTTAAGGAAATAAGTGCTACACAAGTATTACATGTTAAAAAATGGAAACCACTAACAGCTAAGTCAAATTCTTGATTGTAGGCCTTCAAACTAAAACCAGCTAATGTATATTCTGTTTATGAAATTCTATGAGCAGACATTTTGGATTACAAAAATTCCACATTGTGATTTATGTCTAATTTAAGAAACCTTGTACAGTATGCCCCCTCATTGCAGATATTTGGATTACAGAATTTGGGTTAAATATTACATTTTTAAACACAAAATACAAAAGGGGAAACAAATTTGGGTAAAAATTTTTGTAAGAAATTCAGATCACATATGAGCATACACATGAGCTCAAACCAGTCTGAGCCAGGTTGGTTTCTATCTATAATTTTCTTTAATTTCTTACTATGAGATGACCAGATATTTGGAAGTTTTATTTTTCTTTGATTTTAATAATTTACTATTTTTACAGATAAGTGCAGTGGATTTATACTCTATTAATGTGGGTTTTTATTTACACAGGTAGTAAAAGGGGGGTTTATCTTTGTTGTTGTTTCTTTTGTTCTTTTCCAGGTTGCTTTTCTCCTTCTTCAATGTAGGATTCATGGTTATGTGCTTATTTGTAAAGGTCCTAATAGGGTTGGTTTGTTTCAGCCTTTTTAGTGACGCCATTAAGCTCTTTTCTAGGGGGCAATATTTTCCATTTGTTTCTATCTGTCTCTGTTTTGGGGGTTGTTTTAGTCTTTGTTGGTTTGGGTTCTGGTCCCCTACCTTAAAGGGGTTGTTTCCTTTGTTGGGTTTATTGATTTTTTGTGTTGTACTAGTTTAGGTGTTTATACTGTTATGGTTGCTGGTTGGTCTTCTAATTCTAATTATTCTTTATTGAGTGGTCTTCATTCTGTGGCTCAGACTATTTCATACAAGGTTAGTTTAGCTTTGATATTATATTATGTAGGTGGTCACTGGCTAGCCTATACACATGTCAGTAACATAGGGGGATGGCTCATATTGTGGCTGCTTTTCCAATATTATTTTTGATTATGGAGTATATTACTTACATGTATGATATCTGGAAGAAGATCATGAAGTCCAAATTCAAGCAAAACTCCTAAAAGAGCACAGGAAGTGCACTTATTTCTGATGTATGAGAAAGTGCATCCTTATTACAACTATGGACCAAAAGAATCCACAGGATTGCATCTTCACTTGTGACATGGGAGTCAAGGGAGTCAAGTTTGCATTATAGGACTTCATGATACATTTTTAAGAGCACATTTCTTTTGCAATACAGGGGTATACTGTACTTATTTACACCTCTTAAGCTAAGAGACATGGCTGAACACAATACTGATGGTAAGAATACTATGATGGACATGGTCCACTGTACAAAGTATATTTGATACACACATGCTTAGAACTTCTTTCATTGTCCAATGATTGAGACTAGGTCCTCCTAATAGGCCACACTGAGTATGATATTTTCCCCCCTTTATACCTGATGATGAAAACAGTTTAATAAAAGAATCTGCATATAAAACACACCCCAGACAATGGACAATGTCCAACACAATATTCATACTGTGGCATATTTTCTCAAAGCAAGAACCATGGAGCCAGAGACACAGCCATTGCTAGTGAACAGCTCTGAAACAACATACATTTCTAGGCAACAGTTTGGTTCCTGCGGCAACAGATACATATGCAACAATAGAGGTACTGTTGGAAATGATTTTTTCTATTCTGTCCATGCAGAGGACTTCTGTACAGGAGTCTGTGAAGAAAAGAGACAGTTGGAAGGAAGCCACCATTCAGAGAAGGCTTGAGTGCAGAAGCTGAAAAATCTCCACCATTAGAAGCTGTTATGAGGGAATGGCTGGTGAAGACACTAGCACATGCTGTGGTGATTTGTAAACTGTGGAAATCAGCCATGGAACTGCAATTACTTGTAGTTCCAAGTCATGTGTATAAGTGGTCAATAAATCAAATATCCAATCCAAAACCCCACTGAGTCACACTCATACACCTGGCAATAACTTGAAAGGTCACTGATAGTAGAGTTTTCACATTGCAAAATAATCAACAGTTTTGTAAATTACAAGAAATTGCAATTAATTGTGTTATAAAACATACAGAAAAGTCAGTCCAGAATTATATAACATAAAGAAACAAAACAGAAAACGGCTTTCATTATATGGTAAAAACATAACGTAAAAAAACAAAAACCCTGTCTCTTAACATTGTCAAAGAAACTATTATTTTATAACTTGCCACACTACCAAGGAAAACCTTTTTACATTTAGGTGTACGCTCGTTTTCCTTAATTCATCCTGCCTCAAATTTATAATTTATTTGGAACAGGTACGCTTGTAATCTTTGTTACAGTATATATAAAATTACAAAGTTTCTTTATGAAAGTCTATTAAGTTAGTTTATTAGTGTCCTTTTACTTCCATATAAAAGTCAGTTCAAAGTATTTTATACCTTATGTTTTAGGACATTAAATCACATTTTTGAACCCATCCTTCAACACCAACATAACAGATTCATACATATATAATGCAGTACTTGCATGCAAGAAAAATGGATTCAGAAGGGCCAAATACAGACACAAAAGTGATGCCTTGAAGAAAATCACACATTACCATCTGCATTAGTAGTACATACATTCAAATCAGTTTGTAGTCCATAATTGTTTTAATCCACTTTTCTTGATTCTGAGCAACTTAACACATAAAACAGTTACTCAGATAAATTCTCTGTTCACAAGAATGGAAAGTAATGAGTCATGACTAGAATCAAGTAAGATGACAATGTCAAAGCCGGCACTAAGTGTTGACTTGATTCTTGGTATTTCCACCATTGCTGGTAGTTACAGGGGAGTTTCGCCTTGCATTAGTTTCAAGATATGCCAAACGTTTCCTTCTAACATCCTCTGTATCAACATGGCTGGTTGTACAACTTGCTTCAATGACAGAGTCACTTGAACCTCTTGGATCACAGTTTCCACAACCATTGGAACTGTTAGCTTCACGTCCTCCATGGCTAACTGAACTGGATGGATCACAGCCTAAAATGCAAATCAGATATTGAACCAAACACCATCACTACAATTCAGAGATATTCTGCAACAGTGTTTTGAAATGTGGATAAAAATTATGATAACCACAGAAGTTATGAACAGATCCTGCAAACAATCTCCCCTATATTTTTCTCAGAGAAATAGTTGGTCCAATCAAACTAAACACACAATTTGATGTCTTTCTTTTATATTACTTAAGATATCTCCATGGTTTTAGTCCGCAAGCGAACTATACCTACCGAGTGGCCGCCGCTTGTCAGCGAAGTTAGTGCCAACTTTAGCTGATAGAGGGTGTCGCGTGGTCAGCGCAACAAATCCCAACGGCTGTTAATTCTTTTATATTATTTAGTGCGATATAATCAAATATAATTATAATGTATCAAATAGGGAACTGAAACTGAAAGGAGTTGTGAAAACAAGTTATCACACCTAATTTCCTTCGAATGGTTCAGTCAGAATAGACAAGCCAGCAGAAAATAATAAAAGAGTTTTATAACTTAGCAAATTTTACCTATTTCCAACATGTGAAACACAACTTTGAAGTGATTAATACTGTAACGTGGATGGCGCAACAGGAAGTAGGGGTCACGTGAACTCTGTTTCCACGAGTGATGTCACGTACCCCCCACTCCTCCCATCATTACACACCGCTCAATAAACACCCTTCCCGCTAGGCTGTAACGTCACGCAACAGGCGAGTCCGTGCAGCAACTATTGCTACGCAATGCATAGGTAGAAACACCTGACAACAATACCTGATATCTGTTGCCAAGCAGCAATGTGTTCTCTATGTTGTCTGTGCCGAGACTAAATAAGGAACAGTGAACACTATTCAGGAGTAGTGGGGATTGAGCCAGTTACTAGAGAGAGAGTTACCAGTATCCAGTATTCAGTATGAGTTGAAGCCCAGCAACTATGAATTGAGTCATATTGAGTGAATAGCAGTGACTACAGCAGAAGTAACTGTGACACTGCGGATGGCAGGAACTGTGAAATTGTAAATTGTGTGAGTGTAAGAGCGAGTGCTCAATAAATTTGCTACATCCAAGATGGCGTGAAGTTATTTGTCACTTGGCGTACCCAACACGTGACAATATTGTCATATACTAGAGTGCCTATAGATGGGTTTTGGGTTGGTGATCAGATTTATTGGACTTTTTTATATGGTGTGACTACACTTTACAGTTCACTGTTACAACACACACGCGCATGCACACACACCAGCGTCCACAGTCACGTCTTCACTGTTCCTGTGTTGCTTGACAGTGGCTGACATTGCTTATAACACCTCATCACAGACCACACAGAACACACTGTTCCTCTGTTGCAGTGCAATTGTGGCATGGAAACATGCTTGTTTGTGGAGCCATTACTTAGTAATGGCTGTTGAACAGCTGCTTATTTTGTGGTTGTTGCCTTGCAACATGTCTACATGCCACAATACGTCAATTTTCAAGAGCTACCTCTCAAGTCTGATTTGATCATCTTTTCCAGGTAATCTCAATGCTTTGGCTATATAAACATGGCTACACGGATTTGACGTATGTCTTTTAAAATACAACACATGTTTCAGTTATAAGTTGGTAATTAATCAGGCATTATGAAATAAATTCTTGGAGTATAAATATAAATTAAAGGTTTCTGGAAGGGATCAAGATTATAATTCTTCAGTGCCTTGATATTTATGTGTTTGCCTAAAGGCAAATCATAAAGTAAGCACAAGCAGAAGGAAACAAACAAACACACACAAATAAATTACAAATTTGTCATCATTAGACAATAATTAAAATTTAATAAGCAAATAAGTAACAAATATATAATCAAATAGGCATCAAATCTTATTTATCTTGGCTGTGGTATGTCAATCAGTATAATCAAAATGTAAGTTTCAATACAGAAGAGATAGAATTCAACATGCACTGAAGCAAAACACTGAAGAGGCATGCAAATTTAACAAAATGGATCCAATGTCTGTTCTGCATAGCACAACATACCAGGGAATTAACAGAAGTGACAGAAGAAAAAATAAAAATGTCAAAAACAAACACTAAGAATACTTGCAGAATAATACTCTTATAAATCCTGTCCCTTACATTTTTCACCACGATGTTCTACTAGTCAAGTAGTGCGAAAGTTCTCTTATAGGCCACAAAAGAAATCTGTCCAAAATAAAGTAGATACACTCAAGGAATATCCAAGCAAATCAGTACAGTATGAAGACTATAATCTTGTCATGTTATAAGGATGACTATAGTCAGGGTTTGGATTAGTAATCAGATTTACTGGACTCTAAGGACCTCTAGCACTATCACTAATTCATATACTCTACAGTTCACAAAGCACACATGAAGTCTTCTCAATCTTCTGTGTCTTCACCAGCTGTTGCCTGGTAACACTCTGAATGCTGTAGATCCCTCAGCTTCTGCACTCAGCAGCTTCTGTCCTCACCACCTGGTGCCTATCTCATGACTAGAATCAGCATTGCTACATGGCAACCTACAACAATAGGGGCTCTTCTGCTTCCCACACCTCTGCCAGGGACAACTGGCTCAGCCTCAGGCTGTCTCAGACTGCCTGCATCCAAGTTCAAACTCTACTCGACTTGCGACTCCTCCAGACTCAGGCTGACTGGCTTGTCCCATTGGTCCTCATGATACAGCCTCAGGACAGACCCAAAAGAAAACACCGTTTCACACAATTCCTCTGTTCTTGCATGACATTACTAGCAGCATGGACCCATATAGAACACCATTCGCAGTGGTACTTCCATTGATTACACTGCATGGCATGATGTATTCCATTGTTGTGCCACTCTTTGTTATGCCACAACCTAGTAATGGACATCTCTTCTGATTAAACCATTCCAGCTTTCAGGGGACATGCCACGATTATCATTAGGACAATAGATATCAGAGAACAACCTGAAAAGTATCATAATTTAAAAATCTTGAAACAGTGATGAAAACAAAGCTGAGAATGAATTCAGAGACATATAAATTGAAAAAATGATTACTATTATACATCTCAAACCTGGTACATTGCCTACAGTATTGTACGGCTGTAAGAACAAAAATTATTCCGAAACAAAGCCTCAAGAAAAATATGCAGATCAAAATGAGATGAATGTGGTCAGCAGAGAAAATTACATGACATGCAACATTATGATTTTCTGAAGTAATGTTAATGTACACTGTTTGAAGGTTACAATGGGCTGGATATCTATCCTAAACAGTTATAGAGAAGGAAAAAAGTACAGGATTTTTATGGGGGAATTTCTTAGAAGACTGAGACAAATAAGGATACTATTAAAAAGGGCTACAGTAATATCAATTGGACTGAATGAGCTCTGGATCACAGCCAGTGGTTGGTTTTTGTTAGTGGTGCTGGACTGCTGGATTCTAATATCAGTCAGTTTAATTACTCTTTGGAGCAAAAGTCAGAACTACGCACTACTGTGCCCAAGGAAATCTCAACGGAACACAAAATTTAAATTTCAAAGTAACAGATTTTTTACATTTACTTGTATTATGAGACCTGGTCTGAGAATTGTTATATTGCATACAATTGCTGCTTTCTAATTTCTAAAACTGAAACTTACAGAAAGATAATATTCACTGTTGTGCATTCTAGGTGCATGCTTCAGTTGCATCATCATTGTTCCAGCTACACATGTGGAAACTTTTAGCTAGGTTTCTGCATAACAAGTAACATGTGACTTACATTCAAGACTCATCTTCAAAGCCTTCTCTAAATCTAGGTCGTCTTGTTCTGTTGTTGGACTGGCATCCTGAAGACTTAATCTTAGAGCTTTCTGCAATTCAGCTGCTTCCTCATCCTTAGTATTCTCCAGAGATACTGAAGATGAAGGAACTTGTTCATGACCTTTGAGGCTAAGGCATAATGCTTTCTGCAAGTCAAGATCATCCCGATTATCCTTACTCTTATTTAACGTAGTTCCTGAATTTCCCATGCTACGTGAGATTGCCACTTGCAAGGATGCATCTTGCTCAGGCTCTGTCTCTTCTCGGCTCTCCTGTGATCCCAAACTCAATTTTAGGGCACGCTGCAAATCTTCTTCTGAACTTCTCTCATGATTAGATGCCACACTGCTCACATTCTGGCCCTTTAAGGGTGCCAAAGATTGTGGTTTCACACTCTGAACTGCTGGAACCAATGTTAGTAAGGCATCTGCTTCACATTCCGGGAATGTTCCAAAGACTACAAAGATGGAATAACCTGAAATAAGGGAAAAATAACTCTATGGAGCAGAGTCCTTTTTGAGAAACTGACATTTGAGTAACTCTCTTAAACACTCCCTGCCTTTTACAGGCTAAACAGTTCATTATTTTTTTTTTCCCCCCACAAAAATCCTGCACTCAACTCTATTCTGAACTATTTGAATCAAGTCCACATCCTCACACTCTATAACTCATCATCTAACAATAGCCACTTTGAATATAACAAATTATTTGCTTTTATTTACTCATACTTTTAAAATTTTTCTAACATCATAATGTCACATTTAATGCAGATAGCATGAAATTTCTGCACATGCAAGTGCAGTTCCATTAAACTGAGAGTGCTATACTGTCAATTTTTGGTGGCATGTGAAGTTTCAACAGTTGCAGAGATTTTTTATGAAGTCTAAATGAATGTTTTCCAGGATTGAAAACTGGAAACGGAGGTTCAAAACCTTGGCCATTTTTCTCCAAACCTTGCACCAAACTGTATATGGTGAAGAAAATGTATTTATCAAATCCAAGGACAAGAAAAACTGCTGGTAACTTCCCTTCCAGCTGTAGCTCTAACAAGAACACTGCAAGACAAGTATCAATTATTGGTAACTGTTACCTTCTTGCTGTAGTTGTGCCAAGAACATGGCAAGGTAGGTGTCACTTATTAATTCTGGTCCTGTCAGCAAAGAATTCAAGTTGAACCACTGTTGTCCAAGGCGACGAACTGTAAACCAGTGATCACGGTAGTTGCAGATGAACGCTTGCATTGCTCTGTAAAGTGAAGTTTGTTATTTGTTTACTTACTTATTTATGATTCAATATCACTGTCAAGAACTAAGACTATATAGTGTAAAATGACAAGATTAGTGCATTAAAAATTGGAAAGGATGTGGAAGAAAGCAGTCATGGCCTAACTTGGCATCTACCTGGAGGAGCTGACAAAACTATGAAAACCCTCAATCATGACAGGTGGCATCATTGTCAAGATTCCACCTGGAAACTTCCTAAATATCAGTCAGAAGCACTGCCACTTAAGCCAACTTGCTTGGTTGAAGTCATTTTTTTAAATGATACAATAACCAAAAAATTAACAGGAATGCAAACAATTTTGCTCAAAATACTGTCAGATTATCAAGTCCATTACTGAGAATAGAGCATGTGAAATATTTTATGAAGGGTCTCAATATGATCTTTCCAACTTCTTCTGCACTGTTCTACTGTTATTTGTGGAGTCTGCAGTTTTCCCATAATTTCTTCATTTCTTTTACATTCTGAAAGAGCAATTCCTCCAATACTAGTCATGAAATAAAATGAATTTCTGCTGATGTCAATATTGTCTCACCAATTTTTACAATCCAACATTCACTACCATAAGACAATGAATGTTGGTCTATCAAGTGTCTTACAAATCTGTATTCATAGTTACATAGTCTGAAGTGAAATACGTATCAGATCAAAAGAGAAGCTTAACATCTGACTGGCTCATGTTGTATAAACAACATACATAAACCTCTTTTATACTAAAATTTAAATTTTCACGCTAATACAGGAAATCCATACCATGGAGATGATTTTTCATATATCACACATAATTTGCTAATACTAAAAAGTGTTATTTTGTAATTACAATATGTTGATTCTTACTCCATCCATTTGCATTACTCCTGCATATTCTGAAGAAAAATTTCCTTAAAAATGAATCGTATAATTATAAACTGCTATACCAAGTAACTGCTCAACTAAAAATCTGTTGTATCATTTTTGTTGAGTGCAATCACAACTTCATATAAGCAATAACAATTCTGAATTGTTAGACATAAATTATTAGAGACTGCTATGACAAAGACAGCAGTAAGGAAGATAAAAACATGTAAGCTGAGAACAATATGTTGTAGCATGTAGACCTGTTACTGGGCAACAACTGTGAGAGCCACTGTTGAGTAACAGCTCTGCAAACAAACGNATAAAAACATGTAAGCTGAGAACAATATGTTGTAGCATGTAGACCTATTACTGGGCAACAACTGTGAGGTACGTGCATATACAAGAGCCACTGTTGAGTAACAGCTCTGCAAACAAACATGTTCCCACAGCAACCACTGAACTACAACAAAGAGGAACAGTGTTTATTGTGCAGTCTGTGCCAAGATGTTATAAACAGGACAAGTTGGGAGCTGCAGTAAGTAAGTAAGTAAGTAAGTAAATAAGTAAGTAAGTCAATCAGTCCGTAAAGAAAAGAGTAGAAGGTTACTGCCAGATGGTCACCAGCCTTGGAGTTAGTCAGTTGAAGCAATGAGTCAGTTGTGGGATATTTGCCAGCCTGTAAGAGCATTAGCAGAGGGCACTATTAGGATCCGTTACCAGGAAATGACTAGTGAAGGTATAGAAGACTTCAGGTGTGCTGCAGTTACACTGATCTTCAGAGTGTGTAAACCAGTGAGGCTGTTATAGTTACTTGTAGTTATGAGTTGTGCATATACACTGTGTCCAGAATCCGTGAGGACTCATTTTTTTAAATTTTGCCCTGCAATGCCATCTGTTGGTGAGTTGTGGCCTTAAGATTCTTGAAGTTTCAGCTGTGGCTGTCTATAATTTCAAAGTGCAAGTATTGCTGTATCATGTGTTCTGACCTTGAATGTAACAGTACTGTTCTGATGCTCGTCGGAAAATGGCAGTCGAACAGAGAGCCAACATCAAATTTTGTTTGAAGTTAGGCAATACAACCAGAGAAGCATACAAAATGATGAAGAGTGTGTACAGTAGTGATTGTTTGAGTCGCTCAAACATTTTTCGATGGTATGCTGTATTTCATGATGGCAGTGAGGACACTGAAGATGTTCCACGTGCATCAAAGCCAAGAACAAGTCGCACTGAAGTAAATGCAAAAAAAAAAAAAACCTTACATCAGACAGATGTGTTTCTGCAAGACTCGACTCATCGAGGAGCTTTTGGGAATACCAAAAAGTACTGTGCATCAAATTTCGACCAAGGATTTGGGCAAATGGAAGGCCTACAAAGACATGTGACGGTCGGCCCAAAGTGATATAAAATTTACAAAATCGATTGTTACTGGTGACAAGACATGGTGTTTTCAACATGAGCCTCTCACAAAGTGGCTGAGTGCAGCGTGGTTGAGCCCAAAGAAGCCGAAACCAAAGAAAGTGCTCATGCAAAAGAGTCCAGTAAAGACACTGCTAACCGTTTTCTTTGATTCCAAAGGAATCATTCACAAGGAATTTCTGCCAGAAAGTCAAACAGTCAATTCTGATTATTATCTCGGAGTCCTCAACTGTTTGTGGGCAAGAATTCTTCGAATTCGACCTGAATATCAAGAGCAAGGTTCCTGGTCGCTCCTCCACAACAACACCCCACCCCACAAATCGAAGATCATGCATGATTTTTTGGCCAGAAAAGGGATCACAGTCCTTGATCATCCTCCGCATTCGCCAGATTTGGCTCCAGAAGATTTATGGTTGTTCCCAAAAGTTAAGTTGGCAAAGAAAGGAGACTGTCACGACACCATCCAGGACATCCATACGGAATGTACCGCAGTTTTAAATGTGATTCCACAAAAGGAGTGCAGTGACTGTTTTCGAAAACTCTTCAATCGATTCCAGCTCTGTATTCATTCAGAAGGAGACTATTTTGAATAAAAAGAGTGAAATTTTGAAAATAATTCACGTCTTGCATTTTTAATGAACACAGTCCTAACAGAACCTGGACACACTGTGTAAGTGTTCAATAAACTGAATCAGCAATCCAAACCTCATCTATGGTCACACTCATACACGAGACAATATCTAGAATATAAGATGCATGGATAACACCAAGGAATGAAGAAAATGGTGAAAGAGCCAAATAAATTTGAGTAGGCTATTTTATGTATCAAATTCACATGTGAGAATGACTGGCTATGGCACTTCAATACTCTCTGGGCCACTGGTTAACATAAATTCATGAAAACAATGTAAAAGTAACAAAGTGCTAGGGTCAGGTGGTACTAATATGGAAATGATACAATATGCAGAAAATTATCTATTAGAAAGTTTCTTGCAATTATAAACACCTGCAGGAACTTTGGTCATGTCTCTAATGAATGTAACATGGACAAAACAGTGCCTATTTATGAAAGAGAAGAAAGGAATGACCATCAAAATTATCAGGGCATTAGTTTGCTGAATACCTGTTAACCCGTTGGCGTGGTTTGACGTGTATGTTTCGTCAGGTATTTAAATCGTCTGGGGGGGTTCGACGTGTATGTTTCGTCCAGCTGCACACCTATGTTATAACGCCCATAATAATTGATGGTTTTGCCGTAGATTGTTAGATTTTTCGCTGGCCTGTTGTCAGTAGTTCAGAGTATAATAATCCACGAGTTTAGCTGCGCTAAATCATCGTTACATATGCCTGTCTTGCAGCAAAGTTCCTGTTGCTCTTGGGAGAGGTTT